CGAGTCAGAAAATCGAAAACGCTATTAGTCTTATACCCCGACGGACACTATTTGTCTATAGAACGTATTTGTTATATAGGTATGCTTGTTTTTAACCTTTTGACTCCGGCTCCGGTTTATTAGTTATGTACTTATTTATTGCCATGTTCTCTGTATCTCCTTCACACCATTGTCAGACTTCAGTCCTACTTTGAGTGTTACATCGGATGGACGTGCCGTCTAACACAGTTCTCCATGTGATGCGCAGAGATGGAAGTGAAGCTGTTCTTTAATTTTTGATACCAATGGCGTAATATTGTAAGTTTACAGAAAATAATTCACGACATTCATTTTTACTTATCCTTGACTTTGTTTCTCAATTGACACGACTGTAAGATGCGTCTTGTTTTATAAAATAATTGTAGATTGTTGAATTCCCTGAAAAGGACCACAACCCGCATGGTCGAAACGTCGGATTAAATGAATAAATAAACCATCTGCCAGCCTAAGTCGTCTAACAATTCTTTTTATCGTTGAACATTCACTGGCGATTCACATTCTAATGTTTTGTAAATGTCGGAGCAAGCCCGAGGCTACAATTGAACTCTCAATTTCGGCAAATAGTGCACCGTAGTTGAGTCGTAAGCTAGAAAAATTGCCCTCTGCTATCGCCTCTGCGTTACAACGTGAATTTAATCGTTTCATCGTGCGCGGCTATAAAATCTGCCAACGACCGATCGGATCGAGAGGCCGCTGCGCGCCCTGGCAAGGAATTACAAAGTGCAATCCGCGGCTCACTTGCAACCCTTTCCGTAGGAACAACTGCCGTTGAGGGCCCAATTTCTGCAGTAGTCCGATGTATTCTGAGCGGCGGCGGCGGCGGCGGCGGCGACGGCGGCGGCGACGATCGCTGGTTTGGTGCCCAACCTCTCAAACACACTCGGCCGTCGTGAAGAGTCTGTATTACATTTCGTAGGGTCAGCCGTTATCTTCCTTATGTTTGGCTTTGACATATTATCACCATAAAGCACTTGTATTCTCACAATGGAAGCGCATAACTGCGAGCGTGCAGGCGTTCACGTGCCGTGCAAAACCGTCGCGCGACTCGGCGAGCTCGGTGCGGGATACGCGCGAGAACAGCCGGGCATCTCTCCGCGCCCCGGCTCGCCAGTCTCGCCGACCGTGGACGGTCGCGTGTCCCCTTCCCCCGGCCGTACTTTCCCCGTCGACTCGCGATCACTTTGCCCGCCCCGAACGCGAGAACTGGCGAGAACTCCGCCGCGATTTCTGCCAATGTCCGGGGGAAACCATTAATCTCGCAGCCAGAAAGAAATCGACAAGACGGAACGCCACGTTTTCCCGGTCGGTAAAGGGACTTTCCTCATTCTCGACCGGGGACAATCGCGGAGTTACCGACCGTCGGTAATAAACGTATGAGTTTGTAACAATAATTGCTCATAGTGCGCGTTAGTACATTAATTTATTATCGCGCGGCCGCTTCGAAAACAAGCGCATTCACGGCGCGATAATAATGCATATGCAAAATTATATTCCCTCCCTCCCCCCCCCCTCCCCCGCGCGCACAGTTATCACCCGCATGTATAATCGCGAACTGTGGAATGGTGGAAGTCCGGTTTTACATAAAAATCGAATGCTATTGCGTCATACATGATATGCACATATTTAAGAATAATAATGAGCCGAGTCTCAAAAGGGTACATTGTATGAGCAATTTCCGAACATCCATGTCTCGCTTTGAAGATGCGCATATCCGGCATCTGATATACAATTCTAAAACGCCCCACGTGTTGAGCGAAACGTTATCTCGCTGGTGACGCTCCGTGTTTTCGCGAAATACACGGTCGCTCGTCCACCGCTCCCGCCTCTGGATTTCAATAATTTATCGCTTGTCCGACCGACACCTTTGTCAAACAAAAATATAAAACGCCGACGTCCCCGTTAAACGTACCGCCTATAGGCGCGCCTCGAGGTTTTACACGAAGCGAGAGAAGAAAAAAACAACATCCTAGACGCGAAGCGCGCGCGTGACATATCCATCGTTACGTCATGCGCCCGTATCGGGAAATATGCGGAAATCGGGTGACTTAACGTCAGAGACACATCGTCATACCAATTAAATGAGGACAACCGATCGGACGACCGATGACTAATGACCGTGGACGCGAGCAGTGCCGTATCGTCTTTCGCGGAATCTCGTCACAGCATGAATATTCAAACATCTCTTTTACACGTTTATTAAATTCAACTAATACTCCGCACTCGTTCTTCTTCCCTTTCGTCCACCTTGCGTAAAGAAATTCGTTAATTTCATGTTAATATGCAAGACGACATTTAAGGATGTATCGGACCTATCTTCAAAATAGCACAAAGTCGGCGAAAAATTTGTGAAATTGTTCTTCTAATCTCCCTAATGTACTGCAGAAAAGTAAAAATGCATCCACCAAACGGTTGCCGAGATATAACTATTTTAATTTACACTGATTTTATCACGTACTCTTATGGAAAGAGCCGATCTTCACGGATAAAACAGCTAAAAAAATGTAGAAGAAATAGTACCAGTGTTTTGAATTCTTTTTATACATCTAGTATACGAATAGATGAAAATAGCTACCAAGTTTCAATAGTCTTTACTACACCGTTTTACAGAAATAAAATATAACTTGAGATATTCGTGCTGTCGGCACGAATTTTTTAGTTTTGAAAACATTTGACGTTATTAAGTTGAAATCAGTATTTTCACTGTCAAAGGTTTAGGCTGATGAGTGAAAAAAATCGCAAATAAGGAAAAACATTTGTAAAGTGAAAAATACCTTTGTAGGAGTACAAATAAGACTCCAACTATCGTTCAAGTTTCTCACGTCTAGATTTACTATGCGTTAAGAGTAGATATTCAAGTATTTCCAATTTCATGCACTTTTGTCGAAGATTGCACGTTCAATACATCCTTAAATATAATTAGCATCCCCAGAATGATGGCGATTACAATGAAAATAATCCGCTTGCCGTTCGCATGTGTTTTTTTTTTATTAGAATAAAAATGATAATTCAACCATCATTACACATTCTGATCAAACTGATCGTCTTCGGGTCGTTTGCCGTAACTCGATTAGCACGATTAACGCCAGGAATGCACTCGCATTCGTTAATTGCAATTTCATGTTTTATGCGAGCGAGCGAGCGAGCGAGCGAACGAACGCAAAGCACACCATCGTTAAAGTATCGGGGTCATCGTCGGAACAATAAAGTGGCGCCTTTCGCACGAACGCGCGCGTATTGCACACCATGAAAGAAGAGAAAAGAATATATTCTTGTTACACGCAACATTTCCCGCACGCTTGTGATTACGGGGTGATATCGGAGTGACGTCTCGTGCTACACTGATATTACAACACATTAAACTTTTGCCGACGTTACATATACACAGCGAATGAAACCTACGGTGGTACCCCGCATAACAATAAATTAGACTGCATAACGATTCGATAAGGATTATACAACATCTGTATTTATATATGTATATAATCGTATGACTATATATCCACACGTTTTTTTTTCTTCTTCTTTCTCTCGCAATCACTATGATCTTTAGCGCAACTTTACATACAAAAAGTGATTAAAAAAATATTAGTACGAATATAATATGGATTAACATCTTGCATATTTAAAATATATGTATGTGTATATTAGTGATTAGCAAAATATAATTATAATTCTAATCGCGGCGTACAATCGCTCTAAACGATCGTCGAACAGAAGAGGCGTAGACGCTACAATATATCTGGTCTCTCTTCTAAAATTCTAAAGCAATGATATCCCACCTCGCGCCACGATTACAATCTTTCCACATACATTATTTTATCTTTATATCCATATATATGTATATATTTATTTATATACACACATATATATACATATGTATATATGTACGTAGGTATAGCGTTTCGTTCTGAGGTAGATCGAGTCAGCAAACAGCAAACAACTATGTAATTCAAAGCTCGTTTCTAAGTGCGCCTAATGCACACATTCTAAATCTTTTACTATTACGATTAAAACTACATCGTCGTCTGAACATTTAAAAAAAAAAAGATCATCAATGTCAATTCTTAGTATTGTTGCGTCAGCCGCCATCAATAATTCCGAAACCTTGATCATCATTAGTAATTATGCAAGAATAGAATTAATTATACCTATTCGGAAAAAAGAATCGCCGAGTAATATTTTCAAGTGAGTAGTAATATGACTGTATAACGTAAGTATTGTTTATCGTTTTCAAGCCAAAAGTTCTGCTGTATGGTACACATTTATCACAATTCAAAGATTTAATTTGGAATCGCGTGTGCAACTCCGATGGATGTGGATAATGGACATTGATGATATCTCTAATATGTATAGTTATTAAGTGACGTTCGGCACTTTTTCTTTGCACTTTCATCAGGATATAACCTTTTTTTTTAAACAAATGATACATTTGCAGCTAATTTGTAAAAAAAAACATTCTCGGTTTGCATAAATACATTATTGAAACTATTATACGTGATGCATGAAAATGTTATGTACAAACTGACCAATATATACAATAGGCGAAAATGCAGATACTTTTGTAGAAAAGAAAGTGACGGTTCGAAGGTTTAGAAGGTAAACCAATATATATATGTCAAGGTTTCGTTTCTCATTTGCATCAATGAACATTTTTTGAAACAATGTATATAAGATACTTGTTAATTATACATTAACCAATAAGTTAACTGTAAGTCTGCTTTCTGAAGCATTAAACAGCAACTTTAAAGATAAAAAGCAACATTACCCTATGTATATTGTATAGACATATAGCATACTTTTTCTAAATATATATATATACACGCGTAGACATAAGATTTATAGGAAAACGATTCGCTATGATATTAAAAATTATCGATGCCACCGTCAGGAATACCGGCTCTAATATTCTCCAACACTTTGTTTACGAAATCCGTTGAATAATTTGCTATTCGCGTTTCTGCAATCAAAATTTTGCACATGTATTAAAGTAACAAAAACCACTAACGCGTGCATTCTTATACGTTTTATCTATACGTTTTATCTAAGGAACTTGTACAATATATGTATACGTGTGTGTAAAAAAATGAAGATATTACTCACTGGTGGCCACCTTGAAACATTTCTCCATTTGTCGCGTAAGCTCGTCTTGAGTCTCGCGATTGGACTCGGATAGTTTAGCAGCGAGCGTATGCTTAGCTTGTGATATACCATGTATAAGACGTTCTAGAAAAAGAATTAATCGTTTTTCATTACGTCTGAAATGATCATTGCAACACATTCCTCATTTCGACGTTTTACTCAACTGTGTTCTGCCTCAAGTCCATGCAGCTTGATCTTATTAGCCTCATGTTGAGCCTTTTTCTTTAAGCGGCACGCCCGCGAGGCCAGTTTATTTTTTTCTTTACGCGTTTTCGGCCTTGCTGGGAAAGGTAATTCTGAAACAGGTGTCATATCATTTATAATGCGATTTAATTTGTCCAGCTCCCGTCCGATGTTGTGAAGCTTGCGAGGATTGGGCGTGAGGTCGTTCCCGTCGCCTTTCCGTGCCTTTCCGCTGTGCTTGATGCCTCTAAGAGCACAATGAGGGCTAAATACTGGATCAGTTGCTTCGTTCAAGACATGCGGATCTTCCAAGCGTGCACGCCCGATCAATCGCTGTCCTTTTGGTCCCTTGGCTTGAACGTTATATTGCCAAAAGAATCTCTCTTTCTTACTATGCCTGTCTTTTCCTAATTCTGTACTTCCTACTCTGTTGTTACCCTGTTCCTCGCCGTCGCTCCCTCCTGTATCTGGCAGATAAACGATGGTTTAGCCGCACTGATTTCAACTTAGAAAACATCCGACAATAATGTAAATTTAATAAAATGCATTCTTGTTACGTAAAAGGTCATCGAAAAAGCCACGAGTTACACGACTGTACAATATGTAAATACCATTGTCACTGCTGTAGTCATCGTAATGGTCGCTATCATCGTCACTATCCTCGTAGCCCTCGTCGTGACTGAGAGGGTCAATGCAGAGCGGATCCGGACTGAGGGCACCTCCGGTGCTCAAACTGCTCGTCGATCCAGCCTCTACCAAGCTGCCGGTGCTCAGGAGATGTTGTCGCGGCTCCCTATGGGCCCAGATTTGATCCAAATGTCCCATTGTCTGCGTTGGCGCAGACATGGACAGCCTCGAGGCTTTAGGTTTACCGCCTATCGGAGAGATACTGTCCGCCTGACTGGATACTGGATTATTAAACGGATTTTCGCCCCTCTTCATAAGTAGCTCGTGTAAAGTGGACGATCCAATGGGCCGAATTACGGGATGCGGCGAGGTCGACGAGCTTGCTGTTGAACTACCTGAATGAATTACAATACCATGATCATTCTTATCGACAAGTCATACTTGTATGGACAAAAACACGATGCTGATATCATTATTTGTCGTTTGCTGTCTACACATCAGAAGTACCTTTGCGTTTAATGTTATCACTAGACGAGGCTCGCACGTACCTGCGACATTACTAGTGCCCGGACTAGGAAATGCAGTGGGACTAACAGCTTCTGCGTTGTCGGCAATGTTGGAACCTCTATTTAAATTAAAGCCACATGTATTCGTGTACGTGGGACAACTACGGTGAACCGCTCCGGATTGAGGGAAGCTGCTAGGCGCGAAATTACTAAACAGAGAGCTAGTCAACGGAGCGGCGTACTCCATCTTTATCGGCTGCACTCTTTCCTCGGGCAGCAGCAGGTCGTCGAAGTTCAAGTCTCCCAGCAGGGTGTCGTCGTTGGCGTTCAGCTCGGCCAGAGTCGGGCCCTGGATGAGCTCGGCCTTGTCCACCTGGAATATGTCGTCATCGTCCATCTTGAAGGAGATGTCCATCTGATCCGGGTCCATTTTGAAGGGGTACTCTATCTGCTCGGCCCTCATGTCCCATCCGGAGGAGATCGCCAGGGGGGACGGCGAGAACTGATCGTACGTGCCTCGCGTGGTGCCCCTGTGTCCCCCGGGTATCGGGACGGACGCCGACGCCGAGCTCATCTCCTGGGCAGGCTCCGTCTTTATCGCGCTGTCCATCGTGCTGGCTAGCGAGAAGTCGCTGTACTTGGAGTCGTCCATCGGCCGCGAGTGCGTTGACGAGGGAACCGCGGCAGAGCGCCTGCAATTGCGCTCCCGGAGCGCACGAGAAAGCGAGCGCCGAAACTCGGACAAAAGAAACTGATCGATCTCGAGCGCCGAGTGTATCGGAGGACGAGTATCGCGCGGACGACCCGATTGCGCGTTACTCCCGCGGCTGGATAATCGGCCAGCGGGACGATAACGAGAAAAGGGAAACGCGCGCGCGGCTTATCAGGGGGGCCCGCCGTGCGCTCGCACAGTCTCAGACTCCGCGCTTCGTCGCGCTTTCGTCGTTCGATCGATTCCGCGGCCTCGCGCGCGGAGGGAACGGCCTCTCCGCCTGGTCTCCGCTATTAGACTCGGCGGCAGCTGACCTGCTCGCGGGGAGAAAAAAAACGGCGTGCGGACACGTCGGAAATCACATATTGGTCCAGCCGCGTATCACGCAGCACGCACGCATCGCGCGTCTACCTGTCAGCGGGCATATTCCGCGGCTGACGGCATCGTCGCGGCGAGGCCCACGGGTACAGGCTCGGTTTCACTTTTCTTTCCCCTCCGCCAGAATCGTCGACTCGACTCGACCCGACTCGACTCGCGCCCCGCGCGACAGCGAGAGAGGATCGCCTCGATCGCGCGATCGGGTGCGCGTACGATCGCGCGAATCCTGCGCCACGAGCGTCGCCTCGCGCGTCACACGCGTGTTACGGTCCGCGACAGAATCGCGCGTGAAATCGAGGCGAGAAATCGGTCGGAACGCGGAGGAGCGACGACGTGTGTTGTTTGTTATTGTTTTGCCACGAGACTGCGGGGGCCGAGTGATCGGTGATGTTTGCATAAATAGAGGAGCGGGTCACATGACACGTCTCGCGAACGAACGTCGGCCAGTCCGCAGCGCCGGCCAATCGCGCGCTCTCGCGCCCCTCTACCTGCGCGCCCGCGCATACCATCTGCGTCTTTCGCTTCGCGACTCGGCGCAGAATCGCCGCTGCAATGTTGTTAGCCCCGCGCGCGCGAAAAAAAGCGCTCTGCCACTCAAGGACGTCGATCGCCGAGCTCTCGTGCGGTCCCTCTGGCTTGCGCGTGATCTGTGGCGAGGCAGCCATTAGCTTTTCCCTCAAGCCTATTACACAATGCCAGGCAACAGGCAACAGGAACAGGGAATAGAATTTCTGACGCGTTGGATTCGTCGGAAATTTTCTTCCAACCAATCCAACGCGTTAGAAATTCTATTCCCTGTTCCTGTTGCCTGTTGCCTGGCATTGTGTAATGGGCTTTAAGCTGGGTCTACATAGGATGTAGTAAGTCGTGTCGGAAAAAATTGACCAATCACAGTTCATTATTCTCCTTACGGTCGAAAAATAATGAACTGTGATTGGTCAATTTCTTCCCACACGGCTTATGACATCCAATGTAGACCCAGCCTTATGGCTCATTCAGACTAGGGGATGCTGGAGTGGTTTGATTTACCGACAGAGTCGGATACCGTTTTTGCGTTTGTAAATCTTATTATTTGCATTTATGTACAAACTAATACCAGACCCAAGTGTAGAATGCATAGTTGAACATTTTCATATAAAAAACATTGAGATTTGAAGTCTAATTCGTATCGCATTATGTATTACAAATATTGCAATACATAATGCGATATGAATTAGACTTCAAACCTCAATGTTTTTTATATGAAAATGTTCTACTATGCATTCTACACTTGGGT